CCCTAAACATTAAACCCTAAACCTTAAACCCTAAACCTTAAACCCTAAACCCTAAACCCTAAACATTCAACAGCCAAGTCCGATGCTTCAATTGCTGGGCTTCATAGGCTTTGAGATCTAGAACCTGGAACCTTCATGAACCCCATAAGCCCCGACAAAAACCCCTTAGGGTGCCCTAAACCCTAAACCCTAAACCCTAAACCCTTAGGGTTTAGGGCTTAGGGTGCAGGGCCACCAGGGGATGTGTTGGTTTAGGGTTCCTTCCGGCAGGTGAAGCTTCTTGGGCGCGAGTGTTCGAAGCCCAGTCTCTTCCCGGAAAAGTATCACGGTTTAGGGTTTAGGGTTTAGGGTTTAGGGTTTAGGTTTAGGGTTTAGGGTTTACGCCCATACTCCTGCGATCGGGGGGCTCTCCCACGGCTTTTGATTTGAAGGGCTTGGACCTTAAACCCCAAACCCCTTCGAAGGGTCTTGTTAACCCTAAACCCTAGACGCTCTTAAATTAAAGGGATTCCGTGACCGTAGGCCCTAAGCCCGTTCAATTGGGGCTTCGTAGATTAGATGTGGCCGGCGTTAAGAATATGCAATAGATTCTCGGGCTTTATTATTGGTGGTACCATATTTTTTTTGAAGGGGCGGGGTATGTGCTACTATCCAGGCACCATAAGGGCATATCATTCTCAATAATCAGACCTCAACATTCAACCCACAAAGCCCGAAGCCCACAGATAAGGACTCGCCGACAGACTCCGCGAAGCGCCACGGATTTCCCAACTTGCGTGCAAAAGGGTGGTTTCTCTGAATTAGATTCCGTGTTTAGGGTCCTTTTTAGAAGGGTGCCGTACTATTTGGGGGACCGAAGACGGACCACTATTTAGATAACTACCCAAAAAGGCCTCCTGCATGTGGATCATTCTGAAGGCTAGTTTAGAGTTTAGGGGAGGATAGCGGGTTTATGAGGGTTCAGGGTCACCTTATAGGCGACGAGCCCAGAACAAGAGCGTGTGAACGAACTTTCTTAATCCATTGAGAGGTGTCTGATGCCAAAAACCCCCTGCACAACCCTAAACCCTAAACCCTAAGCCCTAAACCCTAAACGATCACCGGACAAAAAAGACTACGAGACGAGCCTGGATCCTGATGCCAGCTTCGGTCCCTGCGGCCAGTGGCAATGCCAAAGCTGACCCCGTCCTTGGTGGAGATGCTTCCGCTGACCCAAACCGTATGAGCCCTAAGCCCTAAACCCCATAAGCCATGTAAGCCCTATAAACCCTAAACCCCATAAGCCACATAAGCCCTATAAGCCCTAAACCCTAGAAACCCTACACCCTAAAAGCCCTATAAGCCCTATAATCCCTAAACCGTAGAAACCCTAAGCCCTACACCCTAA